GGGGGTACCTGAAACCCCTTTCAAAAGCTTCAGCCACTTCAGGTCATTTCAAGAGTTTCAGGTGGGGACCTGAAGTGGCTGAAAGTGACCTGTAAATAGTGTCTGTTGTTAACCATCTCTCCTCTGAAGCGGTGTTGCGACAACATCTTCGAAGAGGGGCAAGATGTGTACGAGGCGCTGGAGGAGTTCTACTTGCACTTGTTCGAGACGGAAGATGCGGAGTACACCGACGCGTGCACCATTGGTAGTGACGAGCTGGAGGAGGGTCGAACTGGTGTTGATATCGCCCTCGCTACTGATAAAAATGCAATTGATAACAACATGTTCGTGCAGGTCCAGGGTATAGACATAAGGATCGCCAGCTTTGGCTTGTCCGACAACAAAGTCAACAACAACAACACCAGCAACAATAACAACAACAACAACAGCAATCTCGACGCAGGGATTGTGGGCACCGGCAAGATTACGACAGTCGAGCGCGACACTGGTGCAACGTGCACGCTGGATTGCGATAATAACAACAGTGACAATGACAATGACATTAATAACAACAACGGTAAGCACGACACTGGTGCGAGTGACGAAATCGTGAGCCCGTGCACGCTGGATTGCGGTAAAAACAACAATGATAACCACAATGATCTTAATAACAACAACGACAACCACATAAAGAATGTCAATATCGGCGGTTTGGTAAGTATGGTAGGGGTTTCCGTTTTTGTCTACCCCTCCTCCTCTCCCCCGCTGTCCTTTCTTCCTTGCAATCAGGTTGACGATTTGGGGGGTGGGCGAAGGGGTTGTTGGAATGGTCCGCTCGGCAGATAGGAAGGGTGTGGGGGACAGTTTGGGGTGGGGTGGGTGCGCGAGGGGGTGGGTTAGGTAGTGGTTTCTCCTATCACACTTGCCAGATACTGGTAGGGTGCCTTTGGTCGAGTGCGAACGGGGTATGAGCGATGTGCACTGCAAATGGGATGTCTGGCCACGTGACACGTGGCGCTGTCGATTTCTGTTGTGCGATTAATCTGGGCTTCGCCACGTGGCTACTACGGTTTTGGCTCCTCAAGGGAGGCCTGCTCTGAATGCCCCTTCTGCTTATGCTGCTCAATAGTCGTTGGGTGGTAAGTGAGAATTTTAGGGTGGAGTGCGAACTCATACTTTGTAAGCGACTGATAAATCGAATCTGGGTATGCATAACCTGCGATTCCGGCGGATGTGACGTATTGCCATGTGGTGAATTCTAGTTGGCAGTGTTGTGAATTCACCACGTGGCTTCATAGGAAGAATAGTGGTGTTAAGCTCTTGGGGTAGTCCAGGTGGTTTAATGCAGCTTCTGGAATGTCGAATTCGTTATATTAGATTCTCTAAATTCTCTATTCTGGCTACCCCCCCCCCATTGCGCTGTAAGGTTTTGTGAAAAATATTATGAGGGCGGCTGAAAAGGGATAATGATTTTCTTACATTGAGATGGGCAGAGGGTGATTGATGCTGCTCATCATGATGAGATCTGTGTGCTTACGTGTCGCCTTACCAGCGGATTAGGATCCTTAGGCTTTGACACGTGGCACTCTTTACGACAAACTTCTGTGTATAGGGACGCAGGACCCGATTTCCAGCAGGTGTTGCTCCCCACCAATAGATGGAGCTCCCCGAGCGTGCTAGCGGTGTCTGCTCCTATCAGCACCTCTAGCATCCAATCGGGCTGTTTAAAAAAAAAAAAAAAAAAAAAGACGAACATGAAGGGCCAGTGAAACCATTCATTTTTCTCATTCTTCTTTTAACTCCCCCTTCACCGTGATAGTCACGTACAAGGCTCGCCACGTTGATGAAGTTGAGCGCCATAACACTGTGAGAAACAGGCAGAGTGAAGGGGGAGGTGATAAACACAGGGAGGAGAGATGGAGAGCAGACAAACAAAGAACGATAAAGGGAAAGTAAGGGAAAGTATGGAGTTTGGAAAGAAGATGAAGGCAAAAGAGGATAAGAAAAGGCTCAAGAATGAGTCTGTCCTTGACGACAGAGAGGACATACATTGTAAGGATGAGGTGGATAAACACATGGAAGACAAGCACAAAAAGAGATGAGAGGGGGGTGGATTGGGCAAGATTTCAAAATAAAGGACGTGAGTGTCGAAGAGACTGTGATGTTCTTTGCACTGGACCTGCAGGAGAGGACGCTGTAGCAGTAAAAACTACACTAGGGGAATTACAGTTATGGAAACTGGGGGGTGGATTGGGCAAGATTTCGAAACAAAGGACGCGAGTGTCGGAGAGACTGATGTTCTTTGCACTGGAGTTGCAGGAGAGGAAGCTGTAGCAGTAAAAACTACACTAGGGGGAATTACAGTTATGGAAACTGTTTTACTGAAAACTGCAGCAGTGGAAACCGCAGCAGTAGAAACTGCAGCAGCGGAAACTGCAGCAGTGGAAACTGGAGTAGTGAACACCACAACAGTTGAAACTGCAGCAGTGGAAACTGGAGCAGTGAACACCACATCAGTTGAAACTGCAGCAGTGGAAACTGGAGCAGTGGAAACTGCAACAGTGGACACAACAGCAGTGGAAACCGCAACAGTGGACGCTGCAGCAGTGGAAACTGCAGGAGTGGAGACTGCAGCAGTGGAAACTGCAGTAGCAGCGGATGAGCAAGTAGGCGCAGGAGCAGGACGAGAGCGTCGTAGGGGCAAAGAAGAAATTGGATGATACAAGGACCATCACATCATGCGTCGGAACCATTGAGAGAGACGCGTCACATGCGTAGGATAGCGACGTTGGCGGGACTGCATGTAGCAGGTCCACCCCTTAGCAGCAAGGGTTGGTGGAGAATGCCCACGCGAAAGCATGCGACGAGTAAGTGTTGTTGCCGCAGTTCGAAAGCCCTGCCAAGTGTTACAGATTTGTTCAAATTTGGTCAATTGCCCAGTGAACACACCAGCCGGTTGATGGGAAGGATGTTGGAGGTTGCACTTGGATGACGAATGACAGGGAAGTCCCAAGCAGCCGCTTTATCAAAGACGCTCATGCGAAGCAAGCCATCGGAACGGACCCGTAAATGCATACCTAAAAAGGTACAGTAGCCATCTGTCGCTCTAGTCTCCTTCCACTCAAGCCCATAGTGCTCTGGTGGAGGAGGCAACTGTCCCCATGAAAGAACATCATCAATGAGGCGATAGCTGAAGGCATATTGCTGAGCGGCTTGAAGATCATGCTGACAAATGTCATCAACAAAGCGTGCTTCATCCCAATACAGCGTAAGATTAGAAATTTCTGGGCCAGCATTCGTTCCCATTGGAATACCGATAATTTGTTTGCGAAGCGTGCCATCTCTGGTATACAGAAAAATGTGTTTTGTACAACAAAGCGAAGATGTCGGAGAATCTGAGAAATGGAAAGCGTAGTCGTCCATTGGCCACAACGAGGTCCTCAAATAATCATGTTGAGGGCAACGCAGCGTGAATGCGTGCGAGCATGCCGAAGGGCATAAGCATGAGCTTCATCAACAACTTTTGCCACATTATTCAGAATGCAGTCACGAGGAAGGTTGGTGTACATCGTGGTAAAATCAAAAGTGCGAGGAGGGATGCCACGACGAGACGATGCATTGATTTTCAGGTCAGTCGACACTCTGAACAATCCAGCACCGTCGAACACCAACCTGTTGATAGAGCTCAATGTCTTTCTCGCGAAGAGTAGAGATCACTCCTTGCAAAGCGGCACTGAGATACGACGAAGTAGACGTTGTGCTATACATATAAATATTATATATATAATATATATAAACAGTTTGCCACAGCCCCTCGTTTGTTGACATCTTCTCCCTCTCTGCCTACGGTTTACCGGGCAGCTCTGTTTGACTATAAATATATACTATTTTTGTTCTTTGGGTCCAGAACCCCTAATAACCCGGCCAGCACTCCCATAGCAGCCCCCAATACCCCAATACAACCCCCCAACACCCCCGAACACCCTCATTAACCCCCCAATACCCCCTATATCACCCCTATACTCC